CACACACACACACACACACACACACACACACACACACACACACACACACACCGTTATATGCAAAAATATTATTGCATTGCCTTTAACTCTTGGTGATATAAAACACATACTACCAAATTTAGATTGTTCTATTTTTTGCATTTTTTTCATAAAAAGGTTCTAGATTCTCATTCACAACAAGCCAAGCCTCCCCCTGGTTGTACATATAGAAAAAGCCTTTTTGTAATGATTCTGCGCCTGAATTAAAAGAATTAAACCAAGCACTGATAATGTTTCATGCTTTAATTCTGTGTATTGCAGTTGGAGACGTTGCTAAATCAACATTTAATTCTCAGACTGTGGATGTGAGACACGACGCTGATGCACAGGTGAGTCTGCATCACAGTGTTTTAATGAGAGTTTTAACGATTCGATGCATAAATAAGCCGAGAGGATGCGATAAGATGGTAGATTCAGAGAGAACGCTCGATGATGCAGAAGAGATAAATTATGATTCATTAAACATCATTCCACGTGAGACCTCTAATTAACCTTTACTGCTTTATCAAATTACATTTTCACTCTAATGCTGCCAAACACATTCTTCTGTAAGGATTTTCATGGACAGGTTGGAATTTATGCAGTTCAGCTTATTAAATGCAAAGTTTACAGATGAGTCAAGGTGTTTATTTAAATTTTCTAAACACAATATGAGCTTTGCTCTTCATTTAAACTTTTGTTGTGAAAAAAAAAACCCTAAGTATTGGTTTATTTGGAGTCTGTGCTGCATTCACTGTCCTGGAGCAAAATGGTAAACTTGCTGCAAAGGAGCAGCCTCCAACAAATGGCTATGTTAAATAGAGTAGTAAATAGAATAGTTTAGAGAGCTTGGCTGCTTTCAGAATTTGTTACACACTTTTAGCCTGACTGAAAGAATAAATCTCTTAGTTTTTTTGTTATTTTGTGTGTGTGTAAAAAATACTTTGTGATGCTTTATTGCAGAAACCTAATGCTGGGGAGTCTTGTGGTTCGGGGATTTTTTTTGTCCAACAGCAAACTGAAAATTACACAATATTTATCATCCTCAGCTGAAGACAAATGGGCAATAACTGTCTGTCTGTCATGATCAGTGGAGGTTGGAACCCAGAATGCAGACTCCAGGAGCTCAGAAAACCAAAAATGTGTGTGTGTATATTATATATATATATATATATATATATACTGTGAAAATTTAGAGTCTCTGCAGGAAATGATAAACACAAGTAAGTGATCGGAACTGTGCCATTAAACAAACAATGCACTGCTAAAGGGGTGGTAGAAAACGAATGAATATATGTGGGAGTTAAAGATTAAAAGGGAATGAGGAACAGGTGAAGAGGGCGTGGCAGGCTGAAGAAAAAAACAGAGGGGCTGAGAACTAACTGAGGACAGGTAAATGATGGTGCAATTAAACACAAAGAAACAGAAGAAAATATAAACTAATTGATAATGACTATTCTGTGAGATTCTGACTGAACACTCATCAAAATACAGAAGATATTTAAAAATCAAAGCTGTGTTTTTGAAAAGTTTATAATTTACGAGGTCTATATTTACTGAACAAACTCTGGTCCAAACTGCATGAAGCAAGTCATCACAGGAAGTTAATGCTTCTGCAAAGTTCAACACTCGTGTTCCAGTTATGTATTAATTTATGACATGGACATGTTTTTTCTTCTTAATATTGGAGGACTAGTTTTACAATTCAAATGCATGTTCTGGATGTCACGAAGATGTTTCCACACCTCGGGGCTGTAACTCGACTCCACGATTCTTTAAAGGTTGGGGTCAGAGACGTGTCAAACACACATTATTAAAGAGCAAATTCACCCTCTGCTCTACTGTCTTTTAGCTATCCAGCTTCCTCACAGCTCTGAAATGCGTGCATGCATTTTTACATGAATTAAAATAAATTAATGTTTAAATTTTTTTCCCCCAATGTCTTTCTGGTTCAGCAGGGTGAAATATCTTTTTATGACAACACTCCCAGCACATGGCCACTCAGATTATCAGACCACAACAAGCAGTGGGAACACAGCTTATGACAGTAATAAATTCTAATGAAAATATTCTCATACCCCATAACAAATTAAAATAGAAATCATGGTAATCATATCAATGTATAATTATTCTATCAACAATTTATCTGCCCAATGAATGATTCTATATTTGGATGAGAGAAGAAAAAAAAATCATCAGTTGACAGCTGGATAATTAAATCAGTGTTTGATGGTATAATTAATACACTCAAGGTGATAGAGTCCCCTTTCTGTTTCTGAGAGACACAACATCAAATGTATTTTACAGTCCTTCCCTCATTCATTAATGCATAAAGCAAGTCCTAAAATGTTCAGTGGGTTGTCAAAGCGGATGCAAATATTTCATTGATCMGAAGAACTCATCTTGTTCTGCTGTCAGTGTGACTGGTGTGACGCTTTAAATCTGAAATATGAATAATAACAGTAAAATTTACTGTCAGCCAAGTAGGAGCAGTTTTAAATCAACCCAAGTCTTTTATATCTAATCTGCTGAAGCACCTTGTGTTTTAACAGATTTGTGCTTCCATCGAGAGTGTGATATTTTGTGGAACGTGACTAAAAATAGCAGCACTGTTCACGTTATTCAAACCTGGGGTTTAATTGAGGAAAATATAAAGATGGCATAAAAGGCTTGCATTTTGAAGCTGCCAAAAACAACTGAAAATGGTATTTAAAGAAGTAAAATAYAAAGCTTGCAGACCTATAGAAGAAACAAAATACTGAAACGATTAGATAAAGTAAGAAAAAATCTTTGCAGAATTATAAAAGTAATATTAATTGAAAGAATGCGCACAATAAGAACTCATCCAGTATACCTACTCAATTTTTTAAAAATATTTTTAGCTGGATTATTGAGATACATCGGGAGCTGAGCTTTATCAGTTGAACGTAGATGTACATCCAATGATTATTTTCTGAAAGTTTCAATAAAAGTTGTTCATGAAATAGTTTGCTAATACACAAAGCACAACACACTTGGTGGATACAGTATAGTGGTACATAATAGAATAGAATAGAATAGAATAGAATAGAATAGAATAGATCTTCATTTCAAGACAGACATAAAACAACAAAAATATGCATAAATAAATATGAAATTTTGGCCAACATACAAGGCCATCTGCACATAAAGAAGTAAGTTGAAGTAAAAATGATGTTACATAACTGCCAGCTTTTTAGTGATAGATAAAAGGGTTTAATAAACTTGTCTACAACACAACTATAACAGGACTGGTTAAATGAGAGATTTACTTTGTGCTAAACTGAAACATTTGGGGTAAATAAAAAAAGGGATATTTGGCTTTTGGGGGAAATTTCTCGATAAACTTAAAAYACAGTAAAACCTACTTTTAACACAACTTGCTGATCTCTAACAGGAAGCACAACACAATTCAATGACAAGAGTTTGATCCAAAAATCGACCAAGAAATTTCCTGGTTCAATTAGAATTTATACGATCCTCATCATGTTCCCATTTTGACATCATGAGGCCAAGATGACACCAAATGATGGACAACCTTGCCAAATATCCTTTACTTTTTGTGCTGGTTTAATAATTTTTAAATGATTTATAAATGATCACACAAATCAAAATAAAATTAGTTTCCAGAAAAAAAAGAAAATCTGGGGAACTTTCCAGAAATACATGGTGAATGACGTCCCCTCGGCACTCCATCAGTCCAAATCACTGCAGGAGCTTTCATTAATTGGTTGTTGTGCTGTTGTATTATGGATTGTAAAAGCACAATTTAAAAAACAGGCACGCACGCATGCACGCACGCACACACGCACACACACACACACACACACACACACACACAGAGTCAGCGTGACTCTGTTCTCCAGTACACTGCTTGCTGCAGACATTATTGGGCCTGAGCATCTGTTGCAAGACATTAGCAAGCAAATGTAATGTGAAAGGTTGTACTCTACAGTGACACGTCCGTGTTAAACCCACATTTTCTTCAAACTAAACAAAGAGCTCTAAAATGCACTTACACAACCTTCAACAACMAGAATGTCTTCACTTCTCTCCACATCTGTGAGCAGCAAGCTCTGTTTGTGTCCTGAATCTTTTGAGACAAGACTAAATGCTGGTCCCATACCATTGACAGATTATTATATAGACATCTTATTTATTGCAGGTTGAACACACTTTTATTTAAACTTAACACATGCCTACTTTTGAACCATTCACAGAGGAATCACAGTCAGCTTTGACTGCAGCAGAATACTGTCCAAATAAAGGCAAAGACACAACATATCATCTGTGCCTCTCATTGGCCAGTAGTAGTTGGCTTCATTTGATTGGCTGATCAGGCATAAAATGAGATTTAAGGCACTAATTTAGTACTGATGCTCACTCCCCTGATGGTAACCAGCAGCAGATATCTCACAACATGCAAACAGTATTCTGATTTTTGTGTGTGAAATAAATTTGACAGTCTTACATGTTTGTGTTAACATTTGTATTTAATTCATTATTTGCAGAAATGAGTTCTCACAAGTCTTACCTGCATCTCTGCTTCCAAAAATACAGAAAGTACAACCCGGCAAACCAAACATCTACTTCCACTTGTTTCAGGTGCGAATGTGTTAGCTCATAAGAACACATCGAGACAGCAACCAAGGCTGGTTAAGTGAATCAAAACAAAGGAAGTCCTCCTCATCCTCCCATCAGAGGGACTGATGGGAGAAAACACACAGAATAAACACAAGATCAGTGAACCAGCTTTGGCTCAGGAGGAAGTGCAGCCATTTGCCAGAGAGGAAGTTGGCAATTCCATTTTTGCTTCCCCACCCTACATGTCAAAATGTCCTTGGGCAAGACACTGAACCAAATGTTGACTCCGATCTGTCAGGTTGCATGCATATGTGTGTGCTTGCATGTGGGTGTCTGTGTGTGTGAGATTATCAACAAGGATAGCAGAACATTGCATAAAACACACAGTCCATCTACCATTTATAATTAAGATGTTCTGTAATGAATTTTCTTTATTACAGCAAGACAGACAGTCAACAACAGGACAGTCTGTTGCTTAGCAGCACCACACTGACTGACATGAAGTCCTAACACAGTTTCACAAATAACACAAACAAAATCTGTTTCATTATGTGGCAATTACTGGTATTGCTTTAAAACTCCAATTTTGAATAGATTGGGAAATTGTGTAAAATGTGATTAAACAGAATGAAGGGATGTGTAAATCTCAGAAATCACATCATTTAAAAGTGGACCTAGTTAACCCATCAAAGTTTGAAACAAAGAAAACAAAACAAGTTTTAGGAAAAAGTTTCAGTAACATATTTTAAAAAAAATGTAGTGACAGAAGCAAGAAGAGTCACTAAATGTGTTACAAATTAGAGTCAATGGGGTTTTGTCTGATGTCCATTCCTCTATATAGTCTCCCCTCAAGGCTGCCGCCTCTTTTATTTATCTTGAATACAAATGATTGTTGCAGCCAGTATCCACAGCATTACATTTTAAAGTTTGCTGATGATTCTGTCATCCTGTCTCTTCTCAGCAGTGATGACCCTGGTCAGGGACTAAACTGAATGGTGTGCATCTCCTTTTATACAGTTAAACATTTCAAAAACTAAGGAGATGGTCATTGATTTTGGAAAACACTCTTTGTTTGCCACTCCTGTGGTTATTAACGGTGAAGCTGTTGAGGTTGCACACCAATAATAAATATCTTGGAACTGTTTTGGATGACAAACTGATTTTTAACGCTCACGTGAACTCACTTTAAAAGAAACATGAGGGAATGTATTTTTATCAGAAGCTCTGTGGTTTTAATGTTGATTCTACTTTTATGAGAATGTTTTATTTGTGTTTTCTTGAGTCTCTTTTAATTACTTTTGGCATTTTAACATGTAAGAACAAAAACCAACTCTGGGGGATTGTCAGGATGTGCAGCAGAATTGCTGGAATTGACCTACAGAACCTCACTGACCTACATACAGTCAGGTCAGTGAAAAAGGCCAGACTGATTCTGGCAGACTCTGATCACCCTCTCTATGGTGAGCTCAGGCTGTTTCTATCTGGACGCAGGCATCAGTTGACCAAATGTAATACTAATACTGTACTTTACGGTATATGCATACAGTGGGGAGAACAAGTATTTGATACACTGTTGATTTTTCAGGTTTTCCCACTTGCAAAGCTTGTAGAAGACTGTAATTTTTATCATAGGTACTCTTCAACTGTGAGTGATGGAATCTAAAACAAAAATCCAGAAAAATACAATGTATGATTTTTAAATAATTAATTTCCATTTTATTGTGTGAAATAAATGTTTGATACACCAGAAAACTGAAACTTAATATTTGGTACAAAAACCTTTGTTTGCAATTACAGAGATCAGACGTTTCCTGTAGTTCTTGACCAGGTTTGCACACACTGCAGCAGGGATTTTGGCCCACTCCTCCATACAGATCTCCTCCAGAGCCTTCAGGTTTCGGGGCTGTCGCTGGGCCACACAGACTTTAAGCTCCCTCCAAAGATTTTCAATTGGATTCAGGTCTGGAGACTGGCTAGGCCACTCCAGGACCTTAAGATGTTTCCTACGGAGCCACTCTTTAGTTGCCCTGGCTGTGTGTTTTGGGTCGTTATCATGCTGGAAGACCCAGCCACGACCCATCTTCAGTGCTCTTACTGAGGGAAGGAGGTTGTTGGCCAAAATCTCACGATACATGGCCCCATCCATCCTTCCCACAATATGGTGCAGTCGTCCCGTCCCCTCTGCAGAAAAGCATCCCCAAAGAATGATGTTTCCACCGCCATGCTTCACGGTTGGGATGGTGTTCTTGGGGTTGTACTCATCATTCTTCTTCCTCCARACATGACGAGTGGAGTTTAAACCAAAAGGTTCTATTTTTGTCTCATCAGACCACATGACCTTCTCCCATTCCTCCTCTGGATCATTCAGATGGTCATTTGCAAACATCAGACGGGCTTTGACATGCGTTGACTTGAGCAAGGGCAGCTTGCGTGCACTGCAGGATTTTAATCCTTGACGGCGTAGAGTGTTACTGATTGTTTTCTTTGAGACTGTGGTCCCAGCTCTATTCAGGTCATTGACCAGGTCCTGCCGTGTAGTTCTGGGCTCATTCCTCACCTAGATCAATGATGCTCCACGAGGTGAGATCTTGCATGGCGCCCCAGACCGAGGGAGATTTTCCGTTATTTTGTATTTCTTCCATTTTCTAATAATTGCACCAACTGTTGTTGCCTTCTCACCAAGCTGCTTGCCTATTGTCCTGTAGCCCATCCCAGCCTTGTGCAGGTCTACAATTTTATCCCTGATGTCCTTACACAGCTCTCTGGTCTTGGGCAGTGTGGAGATGCTGGAGTCTGATTGACTGAGTGTGTGGACAGGTGTCTTTTATACAGGTAACGAGTTCAAACAGGTGCAGTTAATACAGGTAATGAGTGGAGAACAGGAGGGCTTCTTAAAGAAGAACTAACATGTCTGTGAGAGCCAAAATTCTTACTGGTTGATAGATGATCAAATACTTATTTCACACAATAAAATGGAAATTAATTATTTAAAAATCCTACATTGTATTTTTCTGGATTTTTGTTTTAGATTCCATCACTCACAGTTGAAGAGTACCCATGATAAAAATTACAGTCTTCTAAAAGCTTTGCAAGTGGGAAAACCTGAAAAATCAACAGTGTATCAAATACTTGCTCTCCCCACTGTATGTGTTTATGTATATGTGTATATGTGCATTGGTACATGTACAGTACTATATATCACATGTGTACATTGTGGGGTTGTTTTTGTTTTTCTTTTATTTATCTTTGTTTATTCTTCTCATCCTCTCCTGTACTGAGCTGCAGTAATGTGCAAATTTCTTCACGGTGGGATCAACGAAGTCTAGTCTTATCTTATCTTTTCTTATCTTAATAGATTTAAAACCTCATTTATGCCAGCAGTAGTTAAATATCTTAAGGAACATTTGTGATTTTTTAATTTTTTTATGTGTGTGTTTGTGTATCACTGTTTTTGTTTTGTTTACTGGCTGTGCAACAAACTGACCCTTGGTGATAATAAAGATTCTTGAACTGAATTAAGAAAAAGCTGGAGGAGTATTTTGCAACTAACTAAGGAGAATAAAAAGAGCATTTTAAAGAGACTGAATCTTTCACAAATGAAGGTGGGTAGAAGTTCATCGGTCTACAAAACACTTTTCCAAAACAGTGAAACAATTTCAGACTAACACTCGTCAACTGAAAATTGGACAACTTTGAATATCCCAACATCTATAGTTCACATCATTATCACGAAAAACAATGCTGAATGTCAGTATAGTACTTGATGCCCAGGATCTATCAAGGCAGAACCTCAGAAACTCTTCCATAAATCAGACCACAAAGATGATTAATAATATTTTTTTGTGAGGATGCTAAAACAGCATGGTGGTTAACCCTGTTATGTCACAGTAACAAGGTCCTGTGTTCAGACCTGGGGCCTTTTTATTTGTGCAGTTTGCATGTTTTTCTTGTTTTTGCACATGTTTTCTCCAGGTACTCAGGTTATCCCCCCACAATCCAAATACCTGCATGTCAGGCTCCTTCAGGTTCAGGCTTCTCTGTGATCTCATCGGGATTTGCCTGGTTAAATAAAGGTAAATATATATTTTAGGTGGGGCTCTACACTATCTGCTCATATGGACAAGTTGCAAAACTTGTTCTTACTGACCAAACAGGTAAATGATGAGGCAACTTCCTCTTGTTTTACTCAGGAGGAATGTTTTGATGGAAATAAACTCTGAGGAGTTCATTACTGCGATTTCCAACCAGTTCCAGGAACAAAGGGTTGTGGGAGGAGACACAGGCAAGTTTGCAAGCATCCTACCTGAAGGATAGGAGCTTTGCAGAGCGGTTGCATGCTATCACTGTGTGATGTTTAACGATCCATCAGAGAATGATGGCTCAACTCAGCCTTAAGTATGATGTGGTTTAATCAGGAGTCATTGCATACAGCTGCAGCGTGTGCTGTCAGAACCAGCACCGCCTAACCTTTCTCACGTGTTCACCATTAAATGGACTGGTTAATGCAGAAAAACAGAGCAGAAAAAAAACTGGGATCCTGACATTACAGTATGTGTATGAAGGGTTGGGAAGTGAAGCAAAAACAGAAAACAAMAATAAAAACCCACCACAATGAATGATTGTAGTAAAAATGTCTCCTTTTTGTTTTTGCTTTTAACTCATTTTTGGAACTTCCAGCTGCAAATTTCTGCAGCAAAAACTACTCAGTGAAAATAAGAAGAAACAAATTAGGATTATAAGAAGTAGTTTAGAAATTTTGTTTACATTTAACTAAAAATCCAGGAAATACAGCATTTTCTACTAAATTTAAAACAATAGCTAAATATTTACAAAAGCTAAATAACTAAATATTTATCTGCACAGTCACCAAGGTTTTTGTTTTGTGTCTGTATTCATGACTTTATATACACTGAAAGCTGAAAAATAATATAATACAATACAATATGTACAATACAATATAAAAGTGAAATATTGACACCAGAAAATTTGAATTTTTGAGCAGAAGAAATGTTTTTATAGAAGGATAAAAAACCCATCTGTTTTTCCATTTTCCAGTGGTGGTAGTTTTGAGATGGCTGTGCTGTAGGTACAACTCTTAAAAGGTATCCAGTTTAAAATAATTATATATTGAAAATATGCCGAACACGTTATTTTCAGTGGTAAATATGATGTATTTGTATACTGTTTCAATAAAACAGCAGGTTTTAATGACTTGCAAATTGCTGTGTTACGTGTGCTTTTTTCCCATCTGACTTTTTTGGACACAGCTTTGTAAAAACATTCAAAACAGGCCATTTAAATCAACTCTAACTTGATGGGTCTGTGGCAACAATGGCTGTGATGAATGATGATTGGAAGTCCTTGATTGGACTGTCGAACTGAGGCCTTCAGTCATAAAAAAAGCAAATTACACTACTTGTTGGTGACATATGTCAACAAGTGAGGATTTTTTTTCTTCTTTTTTTGCCTCATTGGGCACAATCAGCAGTATATTGATAGATTTGTGAAGATTGTAAACCCA